GAGATGCAGGCACCACCCCCCGGGCGCTCCATTCCTCCTCCCGCTGCTGGCGGCGTGGCTGTGCCACCAAGAGACCTACCAGCGGGGAGCTGCAGGTGCTGCTTTCCACCCTGCCTGGCTGCTACATGCGTGTGCGCCTGTGCACATGTATATAGCCTCCCTGTGTGCGACCGCCCTGCTATGACAGCCCATGTTTTCCGGCGCTCTTTTATCCTTTAAAGGAGAAAATCTCGCTGCGCGTGGCGTCGCTGAGCGGCGTGGACATTGCCCCTGCCTTTACAGTTCAATGAGGAAGCCAGCGCTGCAGTCCAATGCTTGTCTGCTTTCATTACTGCTCATTTTACCAATGGGACGAGGAAGAGGGTTGGAGCCGGAGAGCTGCCGCAGAGGAGAAAATAGCGAGTGCCGAAAGCAGGGGAGACCTTTGACTAGAAAGGGCCCCGAGGAAGGACGAAGGCCGACGAGCAGAACGAGGAGCCATGCTAGCAGAGACTTGCGTCACCCCATGAAGGAAGTGAACAGATGTTTAATTGCAGCGTTACAACAATTGACTCTGTTCAAGCCTCCCACTGGTGTCAGGGGAGATCTGCACATGGGGAATATATGGATGGAGCCGTGAGTTTCGTAGCACAGTCACTTCATCCAGACCGTTCATAAAACTGGGATGTGAGCCTCCGGTGACAAGCTCACATGAACAGGACGGGGCTTTCCAGGCTACCGCTGAAAGGAAGAGTTGTGCGACTTGTTGGGGACTCAGTACAGATCGTGTCCACAGAGCCGGTTTTCCACTCGCACAGCTGTTTGTGCCCCCCTGCGCTCTGCCAGGGTTCCCGACTATCTGTCAGAGTGGAAGGAGGTCTGTACATTGCCCACCTCCAGTTCAAAGAGGAGCTTCTAAAGGGCCAGAGATCTTTCCCCATACCTGCCTGCGTCCTCAATATGTGGCTAATAAACTGCCAGGAAAGTCTGCATGAAATCAGTTGTATTATGCAAAATTAGGGCAAATGTGTTATGTCTTTCCCATGGCACTCATTAGACTTTGCTTCAAAAAAAAATAACGGAGTTGCAGCAGTAGCTTGCAGTTTCCCTTCATTTCCCATTCCCATGCCAGATGAAATCATATTATAGGCCCAGGTAGCAGGAAATCCAAAGGGAGAGTCTTTAAATACTAATGTACTTACTGAAATATTACAGTTACTAATAAAGGTCTTTAATGAGGATTAAATGAATTGATGACTGGCCACAAATACTCCTAGTAGTTAGACAGCTAGAAAGATGATTCTCTCGCATGTAGTCATTATAGCATCATAGAAAACAAGGGTTGAAGGGACCTCAGGAGGTCACATCTAGTCCAAAACCCTGCTCACAACAGGACCAGCCCCAACTACATCGTCCCAGACAAGGCTTTGTCTTGTTGGGTCTTAAACATCTCCAAGAATGGCGACTCCAGCACCTCTCTGGGTAACCTGTCCCAGTGCTTCACCACCCTCCTCATTAGAAAGTTTTTCCTAATATCCAACCTCAACTTGCCTTGCTGCAGCTTGAGCCCATTGCTCCTTGTCCTGCCATCTGCCCCCACTGAGGACAGCCCAGCTCCTCCCTCTTTGCAGCCCCCCTGCGGGGTGGTGAAGGCTATTCAATTCCCCTCGGTCTTCTCTTCTGCAGACTCAATCAGCCCAGTTCCCTCCCCCTCTCCTCACCAGTCCTGTCCCCCAGCCCCCCAACCACTTTCGTTGCCCTCCGCTGGACTCTCTCCAACGTGTCCACATCCTTTCTACAGTGGAGGGGCCCGCAGCTGGACACAGGACTCCAGATGTGGCCTCCCCAGTGTTGAATAGAGAGGAAGAATCACTGCCCTCCATCTGCTGGCACCGCTCATACCGATGCAGCCCAGGATGCCGGTAGCCTTCTTGGCAACAAGGGCACACTGCTGGCTCCTGTCCGGCTTCTTGTCCACTGTCACCTCCAGGTCTTTTTTCTGTAGAGCTGCTGCTTACCCA